TACATGTATCCTGGAACTTAAAAAAGAATATTAAATTAAATTTTTAAAAAGTAACTACTTGCCTAAGCTTCAAAGCATTCTCCAGAATACATATTGCCACCACAAAGCAGGTTACTATATATAGCCAGCTCTTATAAGTGTCATTATAAACATTTCCAAAAGAACAGTGTTCCAAAATCTATGGAAAGAGAACTAGATCATTGTCTAAGAGACTTCTTGCAGCACTAGAACTATTTCAAATCTAGAATTGAAACACTTTGAAAGAAAAAGTCAGCACTATCAGTTTTCAGGGACAATAGGGACATACTCTAGAGGACTTCAGTGAGAACTCCAAGACAGAAGAGAGATGCTAGAAACAGCATGTGCTGATTGAAACTGAGATTAGGAAGTAAGAGTCTGAGAGTCCCAGTTCAAATGCTCCTTGGACCTTCCTATTACAGACAGAACTAGGGGCTCATGAGAATTATTAGATTGAATTGTAATGTTTCTGTTCATGCACATATGTGAGCTCCTTTAAGTAAGGGATTGAATTTCATTCTTCTTCATAAATCTCTACCCACGTACCTAGCACAGAGGCTGTTATATGGGAGATATCTAATAGATATTGATTCAACTGAACTGATGGGCCTTCCAGGAGAGAAAACTTTTTTTTTTTTCCTGAAGAGTATGAGCTTCCCAGTATCCTTGAACAAGGCCTAAAAGAGATAATCATCAAGACATGCTCATCAAAAAATCAGCTAGCTTTGGTTCCAAAACCTAAAATCAAAGAGAGTGCCACAATTTTCCATTGCCCTGAAGGTATTCCAGCGCTGAGGGAGGGCTAGCAATTTGATCAAGGGGACCACTTCAAGCCTGAAATACTGCAATTTTTGTAGCACTGATGTGTGTAATTTGGGTCACAGTTTAACACAGGATAACAAATAAAAGCAATATTTTATTTGTCTATAGTTGTTTATCCAACACAACAAATAGACTACAAGCTTTTTTATGAAATTGCATTTAGCATGTATACTTTATCTAAATTAAATAATCATTCCTCCTCTGCAATATCATCTTTACAGGGCCAAACTCTCCATTAGAAGTCTCAGGCACACTGCCCAGGGCTTATGGTGCTTTGAGGGCTTCCCAAAAATGATTTAATTTCTTTTAAAAATCAGAAAATAAACTTTCAGGTTAAAGAAGACATTTAAATAAAGAAGAAAATATATTCATCTTTATACTAATATAGTCATAAAATATAATTTTAACTTGGCAAGGCAGGGAGGGGGTTCATAAAGGAAAACATCATAAAAGTCATAACCGGACCTAGTAACCACATATGCCAAGATGTGCCAAATTTGGCGTCATCAAGTAGATAATCTTGAAACTCCTGTTTTCAGAAAGAAAAACAATCCACTTGCTATAGATCAATGGATTGTTGTTATTGTTGTTACATACACAGAGACAAAATTGGGAGTTGGGATTGGCTGGTGGGGGAGGTACAAGATGGGTGAACTGAGTTGGAAGCAAGCAGGATCCTCCATGTTTTATGGCTGTGATCCTCATTTCCCCTCTCACTAGCAGACTGCTCTAGCTAATTAGCAAATCAAAAGAAATAGAAACAATTCTAGACCTCAGCACAATCAAATTAGGGGAGTTATTTGAGGATATCATTTTCACACAGTGCAATCACGCTCTCTTTGTTTTGGTCAAACGAGTGAAAATTATCTTTCAAACCCAACGCCCTTCCCTCTACCCAACTGGCTCTGTGGATAGTGGGATTTGCTATCGGCTCTCATCAGCTTTACAGATGATCTTTTTCTACTAAGACAGGAATGTACAATGTACAATTAAACAATACCCAGCGAGCTTCCCTTTTAAAAATACGTTTGACTTTTAAGATGATTCAGCACTAAGAGCCATTAGTGCATCATCTAAATCAGGACTTGGAAAGTTTATTAAAATTGGATTTTTAACCTGATCCCAATTTCCTTTGCTGATAAAGAATCCCACTGGAGTATTTAATATTCATGCTATTAACCTGAAAGATTCAAACAGCCATTATGGGAAGAAAAACTATATAGTGCAGCCCAATAGACTGGGGTTACAAATAAATAGACTTTGAGTCTGGGCAGGTAGACTACTGTGGATTCTGAACGTCTTCAGAAGGAAGTTCTCTCTTTTTCTCTCTCTCCCCTTTTCCTGACCTCCCTCTCCTATCATATATTTTGGGGGAAAGAGAGAAATCCCAAAAATGGCAAACATAAACAAATGATTCAATAATATAGAGCCCGGACTAGGAGTCTAGTTTTTACTGGAAGGGTAGCTTCCTCCTCTAATGCTCTGATAAACTACTTCAGGCATAAAATAGGGAGGTCTAGGCTAATGATCTCTAAGATTGAGAAGATGCACTGTGGAGTCAGGTGAGACCTATGTGAATATCAGCCCTACCACTTATTAGTATGTCACCTTGAACAAGTCACTAAACTCTTCTAAACCTCCCTTTCCCCATTTGTAAAGTGAACAAAAGGTGCAGCTAATATGATTCATTTTGTATAGTACCTGGCACTATACACCTTAGATACATTTTAGCTGGCATTATTACTGATTATTGTCCAAACTCATAGGTCAGTTACTTTTGTTTCTATTTGACCCCTTTTCACTCCTTGAGTCTTTATCTTGGTCTGAACAGTTTACAACTGTGTTAACAGATGTCTGTGAGTTTCTGTAAAGGTAGGCTGTGAGTGTTACCCTTGTTTTCCCTTGAGCTAAGATTTTATGCTCCCTTAAGGCAATGGAGATGTCTTAATTTTTCACCTTTTCCTTAGTAACTGGCATAGTGTTGAATACATACTAGATGCTCAATAAAGACTTTGAGATCTTAGAATATTAACAGTACAGAGATCTTCCACTAAAACCTTCTGATTTTTCAGTTGTTGACACTGAGAAAAGGAGTCTTGGGCCACACATCTATGACTGACAGCCACTTCTCCAGTCAATTACTACTGTGTCTCCTTCGAGCCTCTATCCTCATGCCCACTGCTTTGAAAGGGAAACATGATTGACTTAAACCCTGACTCCTTCAGAAAGTCCCATTTACATTTATTTTTTATTTTTGGAGAGCATAGTGTATTTCAGATACCATGCGGGATTCTGGAATTAGAGACTATGCAGTATTCACCATTAAATCATGATACCTAAGTTCAAGACATTTATAATCTACCAGGGAGGACAGATACCTAAATAGATGTTTCAATACAGTGCTTGTGTTTTTAGAAGAGAGCTAAGCCCTGGTACTATATGAGTTTCTGGATAGCAAATCTAACTCATGACTGGAAGACTTCAGGAAGAGCTATTTAGGAGAAGTGGCAAGTGTCTGACACACACATAAAGCTAAGTAAGAACAAAATAGAGTTGATACTTTTATTAATCTGAATGTAAGAACATTGATTATTCATCAATAAATGATTGCTCAGATTTCGAAAGAAATGAGGGAAACTAAAACGCTAGTCCTAAAATTTCTATAGCTTGCCACATGTGCCTGCAGTCATTTCCTGCAAATGGAAACTTCTAACAAAGACTCAGGGCTGGAGACCTGGGGTTCCAGTTTCATTCAAGGTCTTGTGGTAGGAACTAAGTAGGTCAGTAACCTGCCTTTGGCTTCCAGGGTGCAAACAGAATCATTGCTAACCCCCTTTGTGTCTCACAATGGGTAATGAAATTCATACTATGGCAGTAAAGCACTTTGAACTCTTTAGAAAAAGTAATCATACAAACTTAGAGCATCAAAACCACTCCATATTTTGAAGAACTCATGATCTGCACTGTGCTTGGCTGCCGGTGAAAGCTTAAAGACACCAGTAATTGGCAAAGCTTTATCTTAGACTTCCGTTTGACCCACACAACCTCATACATGATTTTACACAGCTTCATAGAATGGGGGAGAAAAGCACTTCTTTTGAATCGAATGTTAGCTTAAACGCTAAGGCTTTCAAAGTGGGGCTTTAAAGTTACTTTTTAGAATTTGTATTTTTTTTTAACTAAAATAGCCATGCCAACATTATTCTGACTCACAGAAGTAGACAAGGTCATTCAACTCCTAAAAGCTTATTTTCCAAAAGCACAGTTAGGTCCCAGCTTCCAGGATGCTTCTGGCTTTATCAAAATGACACTGCTTTGCTTTGTGAAAGTGTGAGGGTAATCTGTGTATGACTTAAGGAGTCAATTTCCTATAGGAACCTTCTCTGAGATAGGAAAATATTTTTAAATTAATCAACGGTGGTAAAATATATTTAAACATAAATCACAAATTCGAACTCCTCCAAATATTTATTTACTAATATGGAAGACATGGAAACTACTGAAATCTCATTTAAAGGAAGTTATTTTGTTGTGCATTTGCTTTCGGGCGCGGGGCGGGGAAGTGGGGGGGTGGGCGGCGCGGGGGTATGACTGCCGACCTGCCCTTGAAGGAAACTTGCTTTGGCTCAGGTTAGCAGGCAAGTCCGTTTCTCCAAGGCGATTCCAACCCCACGCCTCTCAACCCTTAAATCTTAAATTGAATTATTGGGTTCAGGTGGTTCTCCCACAGAACCTCCCAGCTTCCGGAACAGGGGGGCGGGGCAGGGAGACCCTGCTTTTTATTTCAGATCTGACGTGTGCAATCCTAGTGCACTAGCCAAAAGGAAAAAAAAAAAAAAAAAAAAAAAAAAAAAAGCTGAATTCTCCGCGCTCTCCCGGCAAATTTCTCTCCGACATGAAACCCAAGGAGAAGGCGTGTTCAATGGCTACAGGGCGCTCTCTGAAGCCGGCTCCTCGCGCGAATTCCGGCCCAGGCCGCCGCTCAGGTCCCAGCCGGGCTGCACAGCGAGCTGGAGAGGATGGCAACGCCTGCTTCCAGGGAGACGGGAGGAGCGCCAACTCCTAAGGTGGGTCACCTGCCAGGAAGGGAACACCCGTGGTGCAGACGCACGTGGGAGGAGCACAGGTCCCGCGTACAAGTGCAGTGCTGGCGACTTAGGGAAGAAGAGGTAGGCTCGGGTTCAGACCAAGCAGGCGAGAGGGAGTAGACGGGATGTCCCAGGTTGGCAGTGACCAGTGACAGCGGAGTCACCCAACCCAGCCGCCTCACCCTCCCGGGGCGCTGGTCTCTCCCCTTGAACTGAAACCCAAGGGGCCGCCACACCGGGTGGGCGGGACCGACTATTCCCTGACAGGCCCCTGGAGCTGCATGCCAAGCGGGGCTGCGCCGAGCCGCTGAGCGCAGAGAGGAGCACCCGGCACCCATCTGGCCGGACTCGGGGCCGCACCCGAGCGCGCCGGGCAGCAGTGGGCGCTCGAGATCCTCCTCTGCCCTACGCGCTTTCCCTCCGGGCCCGGCCTCCTCCGTCCCCTCCTTCTGCTCCTGCTCCTCCTCCCGCTCCTCCCCTCCTCGGGATTGAGCACCAAAACGCCCGCCTGCAAGGTCCTCGGCGCGCTGGCAGCCAGAAGCCGCTGCCACCACCTCTGGGTCTCAGTGGGTGCCTGCGCCCTCTCGCCGCCCACCCGCCCGCCCCGGGTCTTCCTGAAACTTGCTCCACCCGCCGCGGGTGCTGGTCATTGCTGCCCATGGCCCAACCCAGGAGCCTCTTTAGGGCGCCCGACGGGCTGGACGGCTGCGCCGCTCAGGTGAGTGCTGCGCGCGGGGGGTGTGGGCCTCCAGGCTGGAGAGTGGCAGGACGCAGGTGCGGGGGGCTCCGAGGTGCTTTCGACTGGCGTTCTGGACTTCTGGCAAGTGCAGAACCCAAGAAGAATCCGGGCTGGAGCAGGTGGAGTGGATGCAGAGGGAATCAGGAAGAAGAGACTGGGAATCTTCCCATCCTCTTCACGTCCTGCCCTAGCACCCCTGCTCTGGACGAGTTGATCTGTAAGGACTGGGACCCAGATTTCTGACTCTTAATGGGTTGAATGTTTTTCCCTCCAGCAGTGTCGGGAGGTTCGCTCTTGCCGGCCGCTCCGGGACCGTAGCTTCACCTTAAGACCCTGTGGGGCAGCGAGAGCGCAGCGTTTTACGGAGCCTGGGTATCACCTGGGGCCAGAAACTGGGGCGGGGACACAGTCCGCAAAAGTAACTCGGCCGAGGGAGCCTTTGTGGTGGAGAAGCCTTGGTCGGATTTGCCTTTGCATTTGGTTGGAGACAGGCATCTCCCAAGGAGAGCGATTGAGGCGACAGCCCTGACAATAAGTAAGCCTCTCTTCCCCAATGCCAATTACTGAGGCTCTTGATTTTTTTCTTACTACTTTTTACTGATTTCTTTTTCTCCTTGTCGGTTTCTGTTTCCGGGCCCTTGGGTAGTGGCAGCGGATGGAGGTGAGGGATGGTGGGACGCGAACCCGCCAGGTTGGAGCCCTTTGCCCCCAGCTCCTAAGAAGGGTCTAATTCGTGAGCCTGACCTCGCCAGGTGCGCTCTTCCAGCCAAGCAGCGGACCTCGCGCTGCTCCTCCTCCTGGCCTCAGCCTATCCCGGGAAGCGGAGAACAGACCCAGAACGTAGGTGGATGATAGGATGAAGAAGCCGGAGCCAAAGACCGGTGCCTGCACGGGATGGGGTGTGCTGGGCGCTGCAGTTATTTGCTGGAGCTATAGGTCCTCCATTTCATCCCCTCCCCTGGGAGCCAGAGATTCTTCACACACTCAGGGAGCTCTCTTCGGCCAAGGGTTGCATCCCTCCCTCCTCCTCCCACTTTGCAGAGCCAGTGGTAACCGTGCCTCGCCTGGCCAGAGTCTCCCTCCTTCCTTTCCCACAAGGTTACCCAGAGCTATTTTTCTCTACAACTTGTGCCAAGATGCTTTTGGGGGATTCTAGGGAGGCCACTCCAAATCCACTGTTTTGCACTGCGCTCCCAGAAGCAGTCTCCTGCTAGCAGGGAGCAGCCTCAAGGAGTGGTGGGGAGAGTGGCCTAGAAGCCAAAGAGCCAGTCCTCCCCCTTCTCCTCCCTCAGCCCTAGCCTGGGGAGGAAACCCCGCCAACACTGGCTCCTCTGAGCCTCCTGCCACTAGCCCAGGAAGAGGGTCCCCAGATGAGTCCCCACGCTCTCACTCTCAGGCACTGGGTGCTCCGGGACTGCTGTGGCAGCAGTCTGGCACCGGCAGGATCCTTCATTCCCACCCATAAGTTCTTGTTTTGGAGGCAAATCTCATTTTATTTTGTTTAAATCCTTCCACTCAAGGGTTAATTCCAGGAATTCCATCTTAAAAAAAGAAAGAAAAAAAAAAAAAAAAGGAGGGAGAGATAACCTAACTTCTTCCTCCCTGCATTTCTAAAGCGAAGCACATCCTTTGGTGTTTGTTTTCTTGCTTTCTGCGTTTCTGGTAATATTAGGTAACACTGGGTGCAATTAGAATAAGCTTTACCTACTGAAATTCCAGGAGCCGTGCGCTTGGCTGCAAATCCTTGCCTTACCATTCCCATTGTATTTCCAGCGCTTAGATTTTCCCCCACAGGATTGCAGAAATAACATTGAAATGGACCACTGTGTTACATAAGGTTTCCTCCAGAGCTAAGCAGAGAAGAATAATTTCAAAAAAAGTATTTCCAGGTTTGGGTTAGCCCATCTCTTTCAGCCGAGTTTGACAGGGATGGACAAATTCATGACTAAGCAGTCTTAAGTGGAAGCAGTTAATGACAACAGCAGCATAGATGAAGATTCCTTAGTAAGGCTTAGTCAGCTGTGCTTCTAGATCCCCTGTGAAGCCGCAGGGTATACAGTGCTCTGTAGTTTTCAGATGGGAGATTCTTGTTCTGAGAAGCTGGTGAGAAAGTGGAACCTTGAGATTGCATCTGAGGAAGTGCTGTTTACTTGCCTGTCAATATGCCTAGGATGAAGACTCAAGCTCTCCCCAGATCCCTCCAAAAGTTGGAGCATGCACTTTTCTCATTAAAATAAGAAATTATTTTACTGGAAAAGTCCCAGGGGCCCTTTGAAGGGAAAAGTTACTTGGAAGTTTTTCTTGCCTTGAATTGAAACTTGATGTTGACAAGGAAGGGGCTTAGAAAAATGTACTGGGTGGTATAAATTGCTTAATCCGTGCACACTGCCTTTCCTAGACCATGGCAACTACCCACGATGGCAAGTCCCCACCATGGTTGCTAAATCATGTCTGTCTATGGGTGCTAAGATTTGGAGGAAGGCACAGTAAGACATATTGGACGTCCTGATGAAACTGAGCCTGTACCCTAGGTGGGTGCTCAGGCACCAGGTTTACAGGCCTGAATCTAAGCCTGAGAGACTGTGTTAGAGATAGTTGTTGCAGGAGGTTAGTAACTTCTTAATCCCTTCCAGGGAAATGCAGTAACTTTCCAGCTGGTGTTGGAAAAGATCAGGGCTATTCCCCATTTCCCCCACCACCCCCTCAACCTCAGTGACCTAGTGCTTTCATCGAGGCTGCTCTTTTCTTAAGGCAGAATGCAAGAGAGTGCAAGATGGATTTAAAGCCAACTTCTTGCCCCATGACCTTGGGCAAACAATTTCTCCTTCCCTGCGCCTATGTTTCTTCCTCTGCAAAATAGCGATGAAAGGGTTATTATGAGAAAGTGAGAAACTACACGAAAAGCATCTTGCTGATTATAAAACACTTGAGCAATTTTAAAGGGTAAAAAATCAAAAATATTAAGTTTTTATCATAGATCTATTTTAATGTTCATTTAAATTGTAGTTTGCATATGTCTGAGTACATTACATATGCTAAACATTAAGTGGGAGAGATTTCATGTAATTGGCCAGTGTCTTCTTATGATCACTTCACCTGAATGCTGCAAGCACCAGGCTTCACTGCTTCTCAGAATGACTAGTTTCTTGTTTTCAGGATCACAGCCAATTTTTAGAGTTTTTTTCTTTTTAACAGATTACACTGTATATGTCTTGAGAAAATCTGGCTGAAGAGAGGGCCTTGATGTTGATTAATCAAAAAAAAAAAAAGGAAAAAAGTCACAAATGGGGAGTGACTCCATTGGGGAAAAGTAAAACATGACCAGTGTCATGAGATGACCTGGGTCTCCCTTGTCTAAACCTTTCATCAGCATAATGCACTGGCTCCCAGCTGCATTTTAGGTGTTGTCCCAAACACGTCTCCAGAACCTAACTCAGTGCCTGCCTGGCACATAGACATTCAATAAATATGTTTGGAATAATTGAATGAATGATTGGACTGAATCTTCACAGCAACCCTGAAGAGCAGATGGCATCATTTCTAATTTAAGGATTTGGAATCTGCAGATCGAAAAACTTAATTAATTTTCTAAAGGTACAAAGGATTCCAGACTAGAATTCAGGACTGCATGTTCTTATTCCACTCTGCATTCGTGCTTGTAGTGCCCTCTCTCTTCAGAATCACTTAAAACACTTCTGAGCAGTTGGAACCAAATATCCTATTTAGGGAGCACAGCCTTCCCTTCACAGAAGGATTTATTATTATTATTATTATTTGGTGGGAGATGGGCCTCTTTCTCTTTGTCCCTGTATCCCAGCCCTGAAGTAGGGGTTAGTTGAATGATCCCGCCTGGGGCCTGGAATCTTGAAAGACTGCCTAAAGGACACAGGGACACTGGAGAGTTTATTTACCACCTTGGGTCATGGATCAAGGGGCATCCACAGCAGCATGCATGTCCCAAGGTGTGGTCCCAGAGGTGCCTCTTCTGCAACACCATCTTGACGTGCCCCTGGTGCTCAGGTTTCTTTCATTCCTTCTCATTTTCCAATCCTGACTTTTCAGCTTCTCAGCAATTCCTAGAGGCAACCCATAGTCTTCAAGCGAATTCCCTTTCTCTCTGGCTTAGCCAGAATTGCAACCAGATGATATGCAGCCTCTCCCCATTCATCTTCAGGCCTGTCTTCAGCCTGAAGCATCCTTAGCTTCCTGTACCCATGGGGGATGAAGTCTATAGCTTTTTTGGATCGTTAGAATAATATCTACTGGGCAATAGTTTGTCAATAGTTATGTGCTACTACAAGAGGTCTAGAAAAATGAATACATTATTCTTCCAAGCAATAGACTGAACATAACAGAAATAGATCCCAGTGGGCATATTTCTTTTTCTCTAATACATGCTGTTTGGTAGTTTTCCAGCAGGGGTCACAAACTCTAATGACTTCAGCAGCCAGGCAAGTAACAGCTTGAGTGGAACAGACTTTGGGGCTGCAGGTGGGACTTCAGGTCTGGTCTTGCCAGATCTGGTTTTTTGTTCTTTTTTTTTTTCAAGATAGATTGTCAGTTTACAGTTTTATGTGGAATGTACCCACTTTCAAGTGCCAGTAGCTAATTGCATATTCTTAAATTGCACCATGTGGGCCAAACCAAAGACTTCCGTGTGTAAGCCTTATATCTGTCATAAAGGCCTCCAATGTATGGCCTCCGGTGACTTGGGACATAAGGGAAATTTGATTGGAATATGAGATTCAGGAGAGTACTTTATTGAGAGTGTCAAGGCGAGAGCGCAGGGGGCACAGAGTGCAGACAGTGCTCTAGTTGGTGACCGTTTACGCTTACAGAGTGAACCTCTGTTCGGGATGCTGCTTCTTCCTATCTCTGTAAACGGTTACAGCAATCACGTTTACTCCTTTAACACATGTTTATTGAGTTCCGGCCATGTGCCGCATATTGTTCTGTTCACTGGTGACATCGTAGGGAAC